GGCAAACAGTCATCTACCATATACAGTACCTTTCTCTCAACCTGATTCAGCACAGAAGCTAATGATCACTCTGGCTGTTCATCTTATCTAAACTGATAATGGCTGCAGAGCAGACATTTGACATAGAATCAAGATGCCACTTGGGATGTTCACATCACGTATCAGGATGCCGAGATTTGAGTCCCACCTGTGCTTCCAATTCCAACTTCCTGCCAATGGGCACCCTGGGAAGAAGCCAGAGATGGCTCAAGTATTTGAATATCTGCTAAACATGGGAGACCAGGATTGAGTTCCTGGCTCCTGGCTTCAGCCTGACCCAAGCCTCACTGTTGGGAGCATTTGGGGAGTGAACCAGCAGATGGAAAATCTCCATATGTTTGTCTCTGTCTCTCTCTGTCTCTCTCCCATTCTCTTTCTCCATCTCTCTCTCTCCCTCTCTCTCTCTCTCCATGTGTGTGTGTCTGCCTTTCAAACAAATAAATAATAAAAGAATAACAATCAACCAAATATTGCAGTTATACCTTACTTTATGATACCATCACATAAACAATAACATGATGAAAAGCAAAGTATTCAATTTACTTGAATATACAGAAACAGTATTTTATGAATAAATATTTTTAAAAGATTTTTTGTCACTTCTTATAGTAAATAAATATTTTCAGATATATATTTGAAGATAAACATTCTGAAATATAAAAAGGAAAGTTTTTCTTTAGCTCCTTTTTAAATCTTTTAAATGCACTATTTCCTTCGTACCTTAGGAAAAGATCTACAGCACTCATACATTTGTGACAATAACTGAAAATTTACTTCAGTAAATTCTTTTTACTCTTTTTTACTCTTTTTGTACCTTAAAACAACAACTGCTGTATGCTGCTATGCATAAACTACAGAAGACATAACAGATAAGGCCAACTCTGTACTAACTCCAGGCTATCCTTGATGTTTCTTTGGAAAATATAAACTTATTTATGGTTTCCCCTGTCCTGAAAAGTGGCACGCAGAGAAAATGGTAGTATTAAAACTCTTTAGTCAATTTCTGATTATGTATTGATTCATTCAAGAAATTGCTGCTGAGCCCTGAGAACAACAGTCTGCAAGAGAAGTAGGGGAAACATGGAAGAAAGAGGCAAATGTAAGATGTGATAGAGAACTCCCACTGGATTTCAGGGATCAAGAAAGTCTGCCCAGAAGAAACGATATCCAAACTGGAATCTAAAGGACAGCAAGAGAGTAACCAGATGTGGTAGGGGAACAGAGTTCCAAGCAATGAGAACATCTTGTGGTAAAAACTCTTAAACAAGAGAAGGCATAACAAATTTAAGAAATACAAGTAACAGATCTTTACACACCTTATACCTTTCTGTTTAAGCTGCCTGTGATTTTAAGTTTAAACTGTCAAAGAAAATAAGCGATTTCTGCTTTGGCTTCCAGAAGGTTCTCCTATAACCTCATTGACAATTTCTCCTAAGTCTTCACAATGTCCTTGCCAACTTCCAAGCATCTCATCAAGAGAGGGCAGCAGGCTCAGCCACTTAGACTCTTTTTTCTAGCTACACTCACACTCAAAAGGACTTCATCCAGGCTTCAGAAATGCTCATAACTGTGACATTTTACACCTCCTCTGAACTTTTTACTTTCAGTTCCAATCCCTTACTCTGTTTCCTCTTCATTATTTAAGCAAGATACATTCAAAATCTAACTCTAGACATTTTCCTCATCAAAACTTCTGTCTAGTCCTGTTCATCTTAGTAAACAGTAATTCCATTCTTCTAATTGCTCAGGCTAAAACCTTAATATCATCCTTAATTTCACTTTTTATCTTATTATTATATAGGAGGACACTTCAAAAACTTCATGGAAACCTAGAATTAAAAGATAACTTTATTTTGGTACAAGCAATTTTTGAAATCCATTTATAGTTTATTCATAGTATGTATTTTCTATGAACTTTTTGAAGATCCTTTTTATGCATGTATTTCAAAAAATTCTGCACCAAAGTAACCTTATCTTTTAATTCCATTTATCCACAAACTTTTTGAAGCTCCTTGTGTAATAAATCTGAAAATCCTATCCACTTTATCTTGAAAATACATTCAGAATCCTATTATTCTTCTATTGCACGTACTCTTGCACCTTAATTCAAGCCACCATCACATCTAGCCTAGAATGTTTCCATTGCTTCATAACTGTTTTTATGCTTCTACCTTTGTCCTCTACTATCAATACTGAACACAGTAGCTACAGAGATCCTTTCAAAAGTACATCAGATCAGGGCCAGCATTGTGGTATAGCAGGTAAAGCTGCCTCCTACAATGCTGGCATCCAATATGGATACCAGTTCATGCTCTGACTGCTCCACTTTCAATCCAACTCCCTGCTAACGGTCTGGGAAAAAAAAAAAAAGGAATATAACCCAAATTCTTGGGCCCCTGCCACCCACGTGGGAGTTCCAGATGAAACTCCTGGCTTCAGCCTGGCTCAGCCCTGGTTACTGTGGTTATCTAGGAAGAGAACCAGCAAAAGGAAGATCTCTGTGTGTCTGTGTGTCTGTGTGTGCATGTGTTTTACTCTATCTCTCTCTGTGTGTGTAATACATACTTTCAAATAAATAAAGAAATACATCAGATTGGGGCCAGCGCTGTGGCATAGCAGGTAGAGCTGATGCCTGCAGTGCCAGCATCCCATATGGGTGCCAGTCCGAGTCCTGGCTGCTCCGCTTCCTATCCAGCTCTCTGCTATGGCGTGGGAAAGCAGTAGAAGATGGCTCAAGTTCTTGAGCCCCTGTACTCAAAGAGGAGACCCAGAAGAAGCTCCTGGCTTTGGATCAGCGCAGCTCTGGCCATTGTGGCCATCTGGTGAGTGAACTAGCAGATGGAAGACCTCTCTCTCCCTCTGCCACTGCCTCTCTGTAACTCTCTGCCTTTCAAATAAATAAAATAAATATGTAAACAAAATACATCAGGGGGCGGTGCTGTGGCGTAGAAGGTTAAGCCTCTGCCTGTAGTGCCAGCATCCCATATGGACGCTGGTTCGAGTCCCAGTTGCTTCACTTTCGATCCAGCTCTCTGCTATGGCCTGGGAAAGCAGAAGAAGATGGCCCTAGTCCTTGGGCCCCCTGTATCCATGTGGGAGACCCGGAGGAAGCTCCTGGCTCGACTTCAGATCAGCGCAGCTCCAGCTGTTGTGGCCAATTGAGGAGTGAACCAGAGGATGGAAGATCTCTCTCTCTCTCTCTCTCTCTCTCCCTCTGCCTCTCCTTCTCTCTGTGTGTAACTCTTTCAAATAAATAATTTTTTTAAAAAAATACATCATATCATATCATTCCATTCAAACCCCTTTATTAGTTTACAACTTCATTCAAAGTAAAAGCTAAATCTCTTAAAAGTAGCTCATGGGCCTTTTACAATCTTGCTAATCAACACTGCCCTGATTTTCCTCCTATTCCATTCCCCCAGATCAACCTGCTTCAGCCAGCCTGGCATTGCTGGTCCTAAGACACACCCAGCATATTGTTGCCTCAGGCCCTTTGTACCCAGTGTTCCACTTGCCTGAAACCCACTTTGCCAATCTCTATATGGTTCACTCCTTTACATTATTCAGGCCTCTTACCAAATACCACCTTACCAATGAAGACTTCTCTTACCTAACAGTATGAAATTACTGCCCCTCAACCCATCCTACCCCCACTGCTCTCCCTTACTTTTCCTCTTTAGCCCTTATTACTACCATATTCAATTACAAAAAGAAAAGAAAAAGAGAAATGCTTATGTCCCTCACCTAGAATATAAATCTCCTAGAGAGTATAGTTGAATGTTTGATTCACTCCTGCATCCCAGAATCACAGGATGCTACCTGGAAAATCATAGACCTTCAGCAAACATTTAGTAGATGAATGAATAAAAACTGAAAATACTAAGAATTTTGGGACTGGCGCTGTGGCGTAGTGGGTAAAGCTGTCGCTTGCAGTGCTGGAATTCCATATGGGCGCCGGTTTGGGTCTCGGCTGCTCCACTTCTGATCCATCTCTGCTATAGCCTGGGAAGGCAGCAGAGGATGGCCCAAGTCCTTGGGACCCTGCACCTAAGTGGGAGACCCGGAAGAAGTTCTTGACTCCTGGCTCCTTATCTAGGGAGTGAACCAGTGGATGAAAGGCTGTCGCTCGCTCTCTCTCTCTCCCTCTCTCTCTCTAACTTTGCCTTTCAAATAAAAAATAATTAATAAATCTAAAGTTAGAAGAGGCTCAAATCCTTGGACCTCTGCACCCATGTAGGAGTCCAGGAAGAAGCTCCTGGTTCCAGATCAGCGCAGAATCCCACCATTGTGGCCAACTGAGGAGTGAACCAACAGATGGAAGACCTCCCTTCTCTCTCTCTCTCTGCCTCTCCTTCTCTCTCTGTGGAACTCTGACTTTCAAATAAATAAATTATTAAAAAAAGAAAGTACTATAAATTTTTCTGACAAAACTATTAATTTAACTGTCTTTTTTAAAGAAACACTCTTTTGTATTTTATGCTTATCCAAAATGTATGTATACTTCCCCCATCCCTTATATAAGAGGTTTACTGGCAAGGGCTGGACAACTGAAAGAATTCACAGTGCTCTTCTCCTTTCCTTGGCTTAGCACTTCAGAATATATGAAGTAATACATTGGGTTCTCTGTTACTTTAAAGCTGATTAATTTTTCATACATAATTCACCTATATATGAATTAATAACAGCATTTTATAAACGTGTAAAGCATCAATATAAAAAATTGGCAAAACCTTGAATCAGCAAACAATTCAAAGATGAATTGCAAATAGCTAATGTATTTATAAAAATGTTTATTTAGGTTAATGTTCCTTAGTAGATAAAGTTTGGAGGTCTAATTGCTTAGGGGGAAAGGAAGCTGAATCACTTCAAGAAAACCAGTACCAGCAATAAATTTTTTACAGAAATAAGAAAATACAGAAATTCTATGTCTACTCACAGAGAAGGGTAATGGGATTAAATACCTGTGATGGAACAGTAGATGATGTGAGGAGCAATCTTGTCTATAGCTTCATAACCCAGGCCCATTGCAGACAGTTTGCCAGGGACATAGTTTTCCACAAAGACATCACAAACAGCTGCAAGCTGAAGGGAGAGGTAAACATGAGTCAGACTTCTCAAGGGAAGTTAAGAAACTTTCAGCAAATCCCAAATCACAGAATTTTAATTTCAGTAAACACAATTGATGCTCACTCTATAATACTCCAGAAAGTCACAGGATAGATGAAGTAGAATTAGATAAGCATATAGATGTTTTCCTTTTTGTAAGATTTATTGATTTATTTGGAAGGCAGAGACTTACAGAGAGAGAGAGAGAGAGAGAGAGAGAGAGAGAGATGTTCAATCCTCTGATTTACTTCCCAAATGGCCAAGGGTTAGAGCTGGGCCAAGCCAAAGTCAAAAGCCTGGAATTCCTTCAGGGTCTCTCATATGGATGGCAGGGACCCAAGTACTTTTGTCATCTTTTGTTGCTTTCCCAGGAGCATTTGCAGGGAGCTGGATCAGAAGTGTAGCAACCAGGACTCAAACCAGGACTCATACCAGATACCAAACATCACACGCCACAGCTCTGGCCCCGGATGCTTCCTTTTCAGAGTTTTAAATGTATTTAATGAATCATTTTTGCTTTCTTTTTCAAACCATTAAACTATAGCACAATGAACCAGTAAGTATAAAGAAGACCCTGATCTGAGTCCCAGAGCACTGCTTTAGGAAGTAGAGGAAAAAGAACCATTGTAAACCCTAATCGTCTTTTTTAAAAATTTCAGTTACTATTGCCTATCTTTTTTTCTTTGAAAAAACATCTTTGGGCCGGCGCTGTGGCTCAATTGGTTAATCCTCTGCCTGCGGCGCCAGCACCCCAGGTTCTAGTCCCAATTGGTCCTCTTCCAGTGCAGCTCTCTGCTATGGCCTGGGAGGGCAGTGGAGGATGGCCCAAGTGCTTGGGTCCCTGCACCCACATGGGAGACCGGGAGGAAGCACCCGGCTCCTGGCTTCAGATCGGCACCGCGCTGGCCGTAACGGCCATTAGGAGAGTGACTCAACGGAAGGAAGACCTTTCTTTCTGTCTCTCTCTCACTGTCTATAACTCTCTCTCTGTCTAACTCTGCCTGTCAAAAAAAAAAATCTTTAATTCTATTTTCTGCAATTTTTTGAGAGACAAACAGAGAGCTCTATCCTCTGTTTGACTCCCCAGATGTCTGCAATGTTCAGAGAAAGTCCAGGTAGTTAGGGGCTGGTAACTAAATCCAGGTCTCCCACATGAGTGGCAAGGTCACAACTACTTGAGCTGTCACCTGCTGCTTTCCAAGATCTGCATCAGCAGGGATCTGAAATCATGAGCCACAGACAGGACTCAGATCCAGTTACTTCAATATAGGATGCAGGTATCCTAACCAGCATCTTAACTGCTATGCAAAATGCATACTTCTGAATACCTTTTAAGATCCTGGCAGTGGGGGTGGAGGGGTGGGGGGGGAGGGGGAGGGAGAGGGAGAGGGAGAGCGAGAGGGAGAGGGAGAGGGAGAGGGAGAGGGAGAGAGAGAGAGAGAGAGAGCGCACTCCAATCCACTGGTTTACTCCCCAAATGTCCATAATGCCCAGGGTCAGCTGAGACCAAAACTTGGAAGCCAGGAACAAAGTTCAGGTCTGTCATTTGAGTGGCTGGAATCCAATTACCTGAGCCATAACCTGCTCTCTCCCAAGGTTTGCATTAGCAAGGGGCTTGAGTCAGGAGCCAAAGGCAGATATCAAACCCAGGTACTTCAATGAGGTTCTTGGGCATCTTGATTGAGACTAAATACCTGCCCCAGGGTCTTTTTAAAAATCAAAGCAGGTGATTCAGGATGGCAGAATAGGAAGGGAGCTTACTGCTCTAGCACAGGGGAAGATAGTTAAAAAAAAAAAAAAAGTGAGAGAGTGCAATCTCAAGGAAGAGTTAGGGAGGAAATTGTAGTGAAAACTCCACACCAGTTAGAGGGATGCTGTGGATTTATGTGGAGGGTGTGGACACACAGAACAAACATGGACACTACATAGGACCCCAGCACCCAAGAGCCTCAGCACCAGATTTAGAGAATGAGGTAAGACCAGCCTGCAGCAGCCTAAGCCACTGGCAATAAAGCTGCAGGGAAAGCCTAGCTTAAGTCCAGCTTGGAGCCCTGTGGAGAACCACGTATCTAACAACCAGAGGAAAAAAAGGGAGGGGCACATTTCTCTCTCCCAATCACCCAACAATGGCATCCTGTAAGTAGCTGAGAGAGGGCAGGCACCATTTTGGACATATGTAACATCGGTGCCATCTTTGGTGGGCACACCCAGCAACCAGCTGAGAGGAGATGAGAGGAGACACTTGAGCCTGGCTGGAAGAACTGACAGGGGCTGGGAGACCCTAGTCTCCCAGTAGTACTGTGAGGAGTCCCCAACCTCTGAGCACATCACAGGCTCTGTGGCTTAGGCTAACTTGGCAAAGTACCCTCAGGCAGCTACCTCTGGGAGCATCTCTGCCTCTCTGTGGATGGGACAGATTGTCAGGGGAGTCGATCCTTGGCATCCCATGACTGTGGGAGACTTGTGTGCTGGGACTGTGGAAACACTGGTTGTATAGGAGGGTTCAGGATGTGGCTCCTCATGCTCAGAGCTCCCTGATTGCCTGGAGAGGGTCACTGCTGCAGGATCAGTGCTCACACTGAGGACTGCACAGATCTTCTGTGTGATTGATTCTTGTGGCAGCGCAGATGAATATTACACCCACTGGGGCTAGCGCTCAGGTATTGGTCACCTTGTAGGAGAGCAGGTGAGTGTGAGATAATGCCAACAGAGCTGATCAAACCCTCCCGTCTAATAAGAAAAACAGAGATTTACCACACCCAACTTGGGTGCCAATCTGGACACTCCTCTCACCCTGGAACACTGAACAGAGCTCCCTGGCCACAACCAACACACACCTCTGGGTATTCACTGAAAGAGCAGACACTCCATTAAGCCACAGAGGTATAGTCCAAAGATAAAAGCTATTACAGGGGGGAAAAAAGTATCTCCACAAATGCCTAAAAATAAATGCAGAAATTCAAGCAATAAGAATAAGGAATACAACATGACATCCCTAAAGAAACACAACAACACTTCAATACTAGAACATGAAGATGAAGAGATTGATTAAGTGCCAAAAATGGAATTCAAAAAATTGTGGGATTAGTCAGAAGTAATCAGAAATAAATCCACAAATTAAAGAAATCCATATATGACACGAATGAAAATTTTTCCCATGAAATTGAAGTGAAGAATTCAATAAATCAAATAAAAATGCAATGGAAAGCCTTAAACAGACTCTTTGAACCAGAAGAAAGAATATCCAAGTTAGAAGAGAAACTTCTAGAAATTTAACGATCAGACCGGAAAAAAAATAATAATAAATAAGAAAAAATAATATTGGCAACTTATGAGATACTATCAAACAATCAAACCTATGGGTCATAGGAGTTCCTGAAGGTATGGAAAAAGAGAATGGATTAGAAGGTCTTTTGAATGAAATAATTACAGGAAACTTCACAATTTGGATAAAGAAAGGGACGTCCAAGTACAGGAAGCACACAGAACTCCCAATAAACATGACCAGAAAAGATATTCACCACAACACATTGTAGGCAAACTCTCCACAGAAAAACATAAAGAAAAGATTCTGAAATGGGCCTGAGAGAAATGGAAGATTACTTTCAGAGGAGCTCCAATTAGACTCACAGGAGACTTCTCATCAGGAACCACACAGGCTAGAAGAAGATGACAAGATATATTCTAAATCTTAACAGAAAAAAACTGTCAACCCAGAATACTGCACCCTACAAAGCTCTAATTTATGAATGAAAGTAAAATAAAGACTTTCCATAACAGAAATTGAAATAATTTGTCACCACATATCCAGCCTTGCAAAAGATGCTTAAGGATGTGCTACACACAGAAACACAGAAACATCTTCACTATCAAAGAACATGAAGGCAGAAATTCTCCCAGTAAAAGTACAAAGCTGTGGCATAGTAGGTAAAACCTCCGCCTGCATTGCCAGCTTCCCATATGGGCGCCAGTTCAAGTTCCTGCTGCTTCACTTCTGATCTAGCTCTCTGCCATGGCCTGGAAAAACAGTGGAGGATTGCCCAAGTCCTTGGGCCCCTGCACCCACGTGGCAGACCCAGAAGAAGCTCCTGGCTCCTGGCTTCGGATCAGTGCAGCTCCAGCCATTGGGCCATTTGGGGAGTGAACCAGCAGATGGAAGACCTCTCTCTCTCTCTCACTTTCTCTCTCTCTCTCTCTCTTGCTCTCACTCTCTCTCTCTACCTCTGTGTACTCTGCCTTTCAAATAAGTAATTAAATCTTTTTTTTAAAAAAAAAGTACAAAGAAAATCCAAAGTAAATAATAGCAATATTTATTGAAAAATGGTAGGGCAAAGTCATTACTTATCAATAGTCCCTTTGAATGTAACTGGCCTCAACTCTCCAGTTAAAAGATATAGACTGGCTGAATGGATTAAAAAACAAAATCTATCTATTTGCTAACTACTAGTAACACATCATCAACAAAGATACACACAGACTGAAATTAAAGGATGGAGGAATATATTCCATGCTAACAGAAATCAAAAAAACAGCTGGTTTGGCCATCCTAATATCAGACAAAATAGACTTTAACACAAAACTGTTAAAAGAGGCAAAGAAGGGCACTATGTAATGATTAAGGGATCAATTCAACAGGAAGATGTGACTATAGTAAATATATATGCACCCAATACAGGGCATCTGGCTATTAAAAAGAAATATAAATGGATCTAAATGGAAACATAAGACTCCAATAAAATAGTAATGGGGGACTTCAATACCCTACTTTCAACAATGGACAGATCAACTAGACAGAAAATCAGTAGGTAAACAACAGAATTCATTGAAAATTTAGAATAAGTGGACCTAACATATATCTACAGAACTTTTCATCCTATAGTTGCAGAATATACATTCATCTCACTAGTGCATGGAAACTTTAACTAGATAGACCATGTGCTAGGCCATAAAAAACTGAAATTGCATCATGCATCTTC